CACGAGCAGGGAAGCTGCACCCAATACTCGCAAACCGGCACCTCGATACACGCACCAGATTGAAGGTATTGAAGAGCGTAATCGTACCGCCACTAGAGTACGCCGGAGAAGTATGGGAAGGAAAAAAGAAGGTTGTGAAAAACCTCGAGGCGGCGCAGATGAAAGCAGCGAAAATCANATCAACGATCTGTTGGAAGTCGTAGAGGCAGTCCGGAAGGGAGTAAAAGTAGGGGACACGGAAACGTCGGTTTCAGGAATGCTGCTTGCGGATGATTTTGTCGGTGTGTCGGACACCCCTGAGGGACTGCAACTGCACATTGACGCGGAGAAGAAGTTTGCTGTTAAGTAGAGATTGTCTGCCAACGTTAAGAAGAGTGCCGTCATGGTTTGCAACGAGAACAAGAAGGAACCAGTAGAACATAAATGGAAGTGGGGGATCGAGGAGATTGCAGTGAGTGACCAGTACACATACCTCGGAGTAGAGATCGCAAAAGACTGCTCGTGGAATGCACACATGTCCAAGGTAGCGGAAAAGGGCAAAGCACGAGCAGGGAAGCTGCACCCAATACTCGCAAACCGGCACCTCGATACACGCACCAGATTGAAGGTATTGAAGAGCGTAATCGTACCGCCACTAGAGTACGCCGGAGAAGTATGGGAAGGAAAAAAGAAGGTTGTGAAAAACCTCGAGGCGGCGCAGATGAAAGCAGCGAAAATCATCGTAGGATGCTCCAAGCGCACAAGTAATGTAGCCGTCAGGGCAGAATTGGGGATCCGATCCCTACGGTCGGGAAGACACGCGAGAAAGCTGAAATGGCAGTATCGCATGTGCGGGATGGGAGAGGTGCGGTGTCGAATGCCTTTTTCACGTCCAGGAAGAAGCAGTACGTCGGCTTTCCCGCCCTCTTTCTACCTTGAATGATTCTCCCCACCGTGAACATGTGGTCTACGCACCCCCTCTTCCTTCGGAAACCTGCCTGGCCCTCATGAAATGAAACATCGGGGGGGAGGCATACTCTTATGTTTTGCATACCTTAGCGGTGAGACCATTGACCACGCGTCCTCGAGAGGACGGAGCATTGTTCCCACAGGACCGATCACCGATGGCCAATCGTTCCTTTCTACTTTGCCAAAGGTGGCTCAAAAATGTCTTCCCTAGTCTGTCTATCCTA